CCCGGCTGCGGCCGCCCCGAAAGCGGCCGTATGCTAGGCTCGCGGGGCTCCCCAGGGGATGCAGACATGGGGAAGGATTGAATACCGCCCCTGGTCCAGGGGCCGTATGCTGAATGTTGGGTAGGGGCTGGGGTCCCCGACCCGCGATGCTGAATGTTGGGGCTCCCAGCAGAGTTTCGTCGCGGGACCTACAGGTGACTGGCCAGTCCTTTAATTCTGTGATGAAGTTTTTGTCTTTTCACTGTTCTAGATTACAGATTCGTCCACGCACACATTGCCATATTGAAGTAATACACCAATATGGCACGAAGTAATAGAAGGCGCGAACCAAACTTCAGTCTAAAGTAGTGAATGGACAGACTGGCAAGATTACGGCAATACAGCTAGACGTACACGAACGCTCCATATGTGAAAGAATCAAAGGATAAACTAAAGCAATTACAACAATATAGCTGCATATACGTGGACAAATCTACAGTGTAAAACAGTAAAAAGGTGAAAACGTAATCGTAAAATCAAAGGACCGGTCAGTGGCCGCCCGGTCCCGCGACGAAACTCTGCTGGGAGCCCCAACATTCAGCATCGCGGGTCGGGGACCCCAGCCCCTACCCAACATTCAGCATACGGCCCCAGGACCGTTCCCTTGGGTCATGGCAGGCGGAAATGTGAAAACGTTTCAGGGTTTCTCACCCATTACACCAATATTTATCAGAAGTCTACTTTAAATGAGTCGATTACGTGTCGTGAGCCCTCTAATCCTTATCTTGAGTATTGGAGAAAAAATGGAGTGCCCCCCCCCCCGAACTGGAGTTTCACCGTGATAAGTTATCGCTAGGGTCATTTCATTGTCGGCGGCCTGATCGTAGCAGTCGCACAGTATCAGATACGTATGGATGATCCGACTGACTGACACGCGTGATGAATCAGAGTGGTCAATACGCATCTAATGCTTTGCGAGGTCGTTACGATCAGACGACGGACTATGAAAGCGTCCTCAGGATGTAAGAGAATTACTCAGGGTCTAGCAAATTTTCCCGTAATTGCTGTTCGTCCTTATTCATTTGACGGCCACACTTCCTTTCTTCAACATTATTTCTTTAAAACCAAACAAACAGACAGCAATATGAAAATATTCATTGGTTCCCGTATGTCAAGTTGAAAAAAAAACGTTTGAGATTTGCTAATGTTTATACGTCATATCAGCTGGCTGGCCCAGGCTCCAGTGGTGGATCCCAAATCAAGTTCTCTTGTTCTATGAAGAACACTGGTTCTGATTTCGGTATCTTCCCTGCCTGAAACTGGATTTTCATCAGCGTAAAACGTTATGCCATGGAAACTGAAAATTCGTATGCGTACAGGCAAGAAATCCCAATGCTGAACTTGTGGTTTAGCCTCTTTTCGTGTCAAATTCCGACATGGAGCGAGGTCTGTTGGAGAAGGCGATGCGGCGACAGTCGCTGCAAGTTTTAAGTGCTCTCGAATTGCATCCAGTTTCTTTAGAGAATCGACAGAGTTACTCTGAGCGAGCAACTTTGCTTGATCTTCAATGTCTGTGCATATCTGAAATGCGAGGGTATTCAAAGAAGAAGCGCGAAAGAAAACTCTCTGAAAACACACCTTTAAAATTTCATTTAACTTTCTCTCTCTACGGCGCATTGCTAAATAATTTGGATCGGTAGCTTCTCGTCGGCGTGGCTTGATGTTGTACTTCTTCGTCACATTCCAAAGATCATCTCTGGAGACGAAGGACAACCTTGTCTTTTTTTCACGATGTTCCTCTCGAACGCGCTGTATGACATAGTCCATCGGATACTCTAAAAACTTAGTGATACCGCATCAATGTTGGAACACAAGAAGCTACTATCTGAACCCAGCTTACCTTCAAGTAGCTTTTTCAGGTATTCCTGCTGATCAGTGGACAAGCGTAGCGCAGCTGGGTCTAACTCATGACCAGCATGACCAAAGCATCCTTTGACTTTCACAACGCCATTATTACGGTGCTCCACGGTCAGAAAGCATGAACAGTAATCATTGTTCTTCCGGCTTTTTTTATTCCTCACAGTTGCTGTCTTACGTGCCTTTCCCGCACGGTTGCACCTAATTTATCAACGATAAGACATTTGTCGAGGTGGATAGCGGAGAAAACATTACCAGAGCCTGAACCTTCTTCCCATTTTCGTACGGTCATTCGATCTTTGCCAAAATGTGGTACAGTTGTTCTTACATTCCTCCGAAAACCACCTCTGAATTTTAAAACTTGTTACAAACTTTCAAGGCAAATAGAAGATGCTGAAAGAAACCTGATATTCTTCTTTATTAGGAAATTCCTTTGAAAACACGGTATAATCCTGTGGTCGACCGTCAGCGCCATCCTTTGAATGGAACTCTGAGCAGTGGTTTGCCAGAGCTTCTTGGTCCACCACCTTTTCATTGCATAGAGGGCATGTAAAGAAAGCTGAGTGTTCTAGTTTGTGTTTTATTTTCACTTGAAGGTACTGTTCTTCAGAATATTTGTGGGTGTTCTTCATATGTCGATAAAAGCTATTCTGGTGAACTTTTTTCCCGCATTCAGGACAGTCGGTCCCTTTAGAATGCGCCATGATGTAGCGTAGCAGAACTCTAAAGTGAGATACACTTCCTACATCACATTTCAAAGCACATGCAGTGAGAACCTACCCTTTTACACGGCACGAGGACGATTTCCGTCTGCAATGTCATGTAAACGTACCGATGTTACGTATTTATCCCACCCTGCGCCCGTGCGATTGCGTACAGCGAGCGATTACAGTACTCTCACGGCTAGTTCCGCTATCGTTGGGGCCGTGGGCAGTATGCTGAATGTTGGGTAGGGGATGGGGTCCCCGACCCGCGATGCTGAATGTTGGGGCTCCCAGCAGAGTTTCGTCGCGGGACCGGGCGGCCACTGACCGGTCCTTTGATTTTACGATTACGTTTTCACCTTTTTACTGTTTTACACTGTAGATTTGTCCACGTATATGCAGCTATATTGTTGTAATTGCTTTAGTTTATCCTTTGATTCTTTCACATATTGGAGCGTTCGTGTACGTCTAGCTGTATTGCCGTAATCTTGCCAGTCTGTCCATTCACTACTTTAGACTGAAGTTCAATATGGCAATGTGTGCGTGGACGAATCTGTAATCTAGAACAGTGAAAAGACAAAAACTTCATCACAGAATTAAAGGACTGGCCAGTCACCTGTAGGTCCCGCGACGAAACTCTGCTGGGAGCCCCAACATTCAGCATCGCGGGTCGGGGACCCCAGCCCCTACCCAACATTCAGCATACGGCCCAGGGGGGGGGGTGAACGACCTTGAGCTACCGAGTGCAACCACATCACGAGCGACTACCGTAATCAACGCCCCAGTTGTTCCCTGATGAGGAAACGTTCACAGCTCACGATCTGAGAAACTATGCCATTTGGTGATTTGGCGATTATGCTAAAAGGAGTATGTAACTATCGATCAAGGAGTTCGCCGAGACATCGCACCGACGAGGGCTCGTCAGGCGGAATCGTTCTGATCGATGCGCATCTTATCCTTTCAGTGGAATCGCATAATGGATAGAAAGCGGCTGCTTCGCGTTTCTCAGCGCGAAACTTTTTTCGCTGCCGAAACTCATCAGTGGACTCGATGTTCCCGCAGCAGAAAGTGTTTCGCGCGCGAAACGCGAAAAAGTCGCTTTCTGTCCCAGTGAACCATACCCTAATCAATCAATCACTTAATCGTATCATCGCCGAATTTTTGAGTTGATATTTTTTCAGCGTACTCGCCAAATGGCCCAAGTCGCGGAATGTGGACAGGGCTCGACCCTCTCAGGGCGCGTTCATAGTCGGTGGTCCGATCGTAACGATCGCACTGCATTAGATACGTATCGATCGTCTGACGTCCGACACGTGCGATCGTAACACGATAGGACGACCGACTGTGAATGCGCCCTCAGCGCACATGGTAAGGATTCTGTGGTCATCAGAGTGGCTTGCATTGGGAGATAATTTGTTGTAATTCAGGCTGCCCTTAATAACGAAAACATTCAAAACTGTAAAATCTGCTGGGTGTTTCACAAAACAAAGAACCAAAAGTATGGAAAACGCTATAAATGTCAATGATAGGCATGAAGCTCTGTAAGCTGCGTAGTCTTACAGATTTGGTGCAGGTTTTATAGGTTATTTCTCTTGAGGTGAATGCTTTTTAGCTACTTGAAAGCTTTGGCACACATTGCCATGTTTGACATGTCTTCTTTGTTGACAACAAGTGCCCCTCTCCCTCTCAGGTCAACTGATTGCGCTTTTTCTTTCCTGAAGTTTTGTAGGTATTCCATACATAATTGGTGCTAAACCGTACGGAGTCCGCTGCTTGCTTCTTGATGAAGATTCTTCATTATTGACCCGTAGATTTTTTGAATTATTATCCTCCGTGG